TTTTGCTGCACTTTATTCATGAAATGACATGCCTTTTTATAGGCTTTACAGAATAACAACTCAACTGAGTAGAAGGAAAAAATCTTGGCATTATCCCATGCCTAAAATCAGCAACTGAAACAGAAAAACAAGCAACAGAAAGATTAAAACTAATTTTTGCAGCAAGACTTAGTCAATGGTAAATCTTCCATGGTAAACTTTGAATCACATTTTAACACTCCTCCTTGATTCAAAGTCACAAACACCAAGCTTCAATCTCAAGTAAACATGCTTGTCTTGAGGAAGGGACTTTGTACGAATGTCGGCAACTTGCTCATTAGTACTGGAGTACTCCAAAGTGATGGAATTTTCAGCAACAAGGTCTCGAATGAATTGAACTCTTATATCAATATGTTTAGTCCTTCCATGATGAGTGGGATTTCTGGACATAGAAATTGCAGCCATATTGTCACAATGAATCTCAGTTGCTTCAAGTTGTTCCTGATCAAGATCAGCAAGAATCCTCCTTAACCAAACAGCTTGACAAGCGGATGGACTAGCAGCTACAAATTCAGCTTCTAAAGTAGATAAAGCAACTGTGGCTTGCTTCTGAGAACTCCAGCAAATTGCAGCTGATCCAAGATTAAAAACATAACCTGAGGTGCTTCTTCTATCCTTCAAACATCCAGCCCAATCACTATCCGAATAACTAGTCAATTTGAACTCTGAAACATGACCATACCACAGCCCAAAACTTGTAGTTCCAGCAATATAACGGAGCACCCTCTTTGCAGCTCCAAAGTGATGCTTTGTCGCACGATGCATAAACCTGGAAACAACTCCAACTGAGTAGCTAATGTCTGACCGTGTATGAGTCAAATAGATTAGTCCTCCAATAAGACTTCTGAAGTTCTTCTCATCAACTAATTCCGTACCATCTTCAACTTGCAACTTCTCATTCAAATTCATTGGTGTGGATGAAATCTTGCAATTGAACATATTAAACCTCTTAAGTAAATCAGTAGCATATTTTCGTTGAGATACAAATATTCCATCTTCACTTGCACCACTTCAAGCCCAAGAAAGTAGTATAACTCCCCCAAATCAAACATTTCAAACTTCTGCTTCATGCAATCTTTGAATTCAGTAATGAGAGAAGTAGAAGACCCACATAAATCATATCATCCACATAAAGACAAACAAGGAGAATATCAGTTTTACCAGCTTTCTTCACATAAAGATTTGGTTCATACCTACTCCTTTGAAAGCCATTAGCAATGAAGTAAGAGTCTATCTTGCTATACCATGCACGTGGAGCTTGCTTCAACCCGTAGAGTGCCTTCTTCAGCTTGTACACCTTTCCTTCTTCACCTTCAACAATGAACCCTTCAGGTTGAGTGAGATAAACTTCTTGTAGGTCTCCATTCAGAAACATAGACTTAACATCAAACTAAAAAATAGTCCAATGCATTTGTGCAGCCAATGCTAAAATTGTCTTCACAGTATCAAAATGTGCAACTGGAGAAAAAGTCTCTTCATAATCAATACCTTGTTGCTGTGAGTATCCCTTCACCACGAGCCTTGCTTTATACTTTTGTATGCTTCCATCAGCTAGAAACTTTGTCCGAAAGACCCACTTGACTCTAATGGCTTTCTTGTTGCTAGGAAGATCCACTAACTCCCGTGTCATTTTTTATTATAGCTGCAAGTTCTTCATCTATTGCTTTGCGCCATTTTTCTTTTGTTGCTGCTTCTTCAAAACTAATAGGATCCACAACAAATAAAGCTTGGGTAACTTCATAAATTTCAGTCAATGATCTGAACCGTTGTGCAGTATTTTCAGCTTCAGAGGAACTCAAACTTGAAGAAGATGAGTTTGGTGACAATGATGGGCTTGAGGTGTTAGAACCTGATGCTTGTTCTAACTCAACTGGTGGAGCTGCATTTTGAGTTGGAACTTCAACACTTTCTGAATTCGCCTGCCAATTCCAGCTTGCTTCTTCATTAAAAACAACATTTCTACTAACAACAGTCTTGCTACTTATAGGATCATAAAGCCTATATGCCTTAGATTGAGAATAATAACCAAAAAAATATATCTTGCTGATTTATTATCAAGCTTACTACGCTTATGTGCATCAATCAAAGCAAAAGCAATACAGCCAAAAACCTTTAAATGACTTACACATGGCTTCTTCCCACTCCATGCCTCAAATGGTGTTTGGTTTTGAACAGCCTTTGTCGGTGATAAATTCAGCAAGTACACAGCGGTTGCCACACCTTCTGCCCAAAAATCATTAGGCAAATTCTTGCACTTTAACAAACTTCTTGTCATCTCTACCACAGTTCGGTTTTTGCGCTCTGCCATGCCATTTTGCTCCGGTGTGTATGGAGCCGTTAGCTCCCTATGCAAGCCATGTGCTTCATAGAATTGATTGAATTCGGCAGACAAAAATTCCCCCCCTCTATCAGTGCGAAGTGCTTTTAAGAAACTCCCACTTTGTTTTTCAACAAAGGCTTTGAACTTCTTGAAGGCTTTAAATGCCTCAGACTTGAATTGCAGAAAATAGACCCAACTCATACGACTGTAATCATCTGTAAACAACAAGAAATATCTACTCCCACCAAATGATTTAGTCTGCATAGGACCACATAAATCAGCATGCACAATTTCAAGAATGCAAGATGCTCTTTTAGAGTTACTGGTAGGAAATGATCTCTTACATTGCTTCCCGTATATGCAATCTTCACACATGTCCAAAGACTCAATTTTAGGCAATCCATAAACCATCTCTTTCTAGCTCAACAATTTCTGACCATTTACATACAAATGTCCATATCGAAGATGCCACAATCTTGATTCAACATTTTCTTTCACAACAAGAGCATGATTCTCCACATTAGAAACTTTAAATGGAAAAAGCCTATTTCCAATCATTTTAACATTAAGAACAACCTGATTTGATTTTTTATCTCTAACCACACAAAAGTCTTCATCAAATAAGAGTGAATATCCACTAGCCATTAGTTGCCCAATACTCAACAAATTCTGTGACAAACTTGGAATAAAGTAGACATTATAGAGAAGTTTAACATTACCGTTTCCACCTCTCAAGGCTACAACACCATTTCCCTCCACTTGCAATTGTTTACCATCTCCAAGTGTCACTTTCTGTTTGAAATTCTCATCAAGATCTCTGAATAAAGACCGTACTCTAGTCATGTGATTAGAGCATCCACTGTCCAAGTACCAAACATCATTGTCAAGAGCTGCATCTTCTTGAAATGTCATGAAAAGCTTGGTTTCCTCCTCTTCTTCCTCCATGACATAGTTAGACCGCTGCAACTTTCTACAATATGCCTTTATATGCCCAAATTCCTTGCAGTAGTAACATTGAACATTAGCCCAACGGCCTTTTGGCATTTCATTTGCTTGTGAATCATCATTTTGCTCATGACCACGTCCTCCTCGACCATAGCCTCTACCAGCTCCTCGGCCACTACGACCTCTGCTACCACGACCTCTTCCAGCCGATGTCTCCCTCTTCACTTGAAAAGCCTTTTCTTCAACTTTCTCTTCTTGTCAGTTTAATCTCGCCTCATGAGACTGCAATGATCCCATAAGCTCATCAAATGAGTACACTGCCAAGTCCTTTGACTCCTCAATGGCTGCTACAACGTGATCAAACTTGGTAGTCAAGCTCCGTAGTACCTTTGCAACAACAGTTGCATCAGCAACATCTTCACCATAGGCTCTCATTTGATTAACAATTGCTCCAACTCTTGACAGAAAATCCTAAACTGATTCTCCATTCTTCATTTGCAGAGTTTCAAAATCATGGTGAAGAGATTGAAGTTTCACCGTAATTACCTTCGAAGAGCCTTGGAAAGCCGTCTGCAAAGTTGTCCATGCTTCTTTGGCCGTATTTGCAGCAGCAATTTTGGAGAAGGTCGACTCATGAACTGCTTGCTGGATGAAGAACAACGCCTTTGAGTCCTTCTTCTTGTTCTCTCTCAAACTTGCTTTATCATCAGGCTCTGAGTAGCCATTCTCCACCAAGTCCCAAAGATCCTGGGACTTAAACAAAGTTTTCATCTTTATGCTCCAAAACTCATAGCTTTCACCAGTAAAAACGGGAATCGATGGTTGAGCCACATTAACGAGATTGCCATTAGCCGCCATAAGTGATACGCCCAGTTCCAATCGAACCTGGCTCTGAATATCACAATGTTGGAATGGAATCAGATGACCAAAAAGAAAAATGGAACTTAGGAATATAAAAACCAAGATGTAGACAGAATGATAGTCTTTTTTTGCTGCACTTTATTCATGAAATGACATACCTTTTTATAGGCTTTACAGAATAACAACTCAACTGAGTAGAAGGAAAAAATCTTGGCATTATCCCATGCTTAAAATCAGCAACTGAAAACAGAAAAACAAGCAACAGAAAGATTAAAACTAATTTTTGCAGCAAGACTTAGTCAATGGTAAATCTTCCATGGTAAACTTTGAATCACATTCTAACATTTCTAAGTAGACAAAAAAAAATTACGGTTTGGAGAAGGATGATGTTGTTAAAGACCTTTTAATGAATTATATTTTTATATAATAGAAAGTAGTATTTGGCAAAACAAAACGCAAAAGGATGAACCCAATGGAATTCATGAGAACGAAGTAGTTATAGGAATTAGGAATTTAGTGTTCTTCTAGAAGAAAATCGAAAAGCAAAAAACGAAATCATTACTAGTAGAAAACAAACTGAACTGTGAGTGAAAGGTTTTGCTAAGTGGCAAGGAATGGACAAAGGGAGAAGACACGTAAACAGGCTTTTCTCTTTTCCATGCATAATTATTAGTTATATTTATATTTTTGGTTCCTGCATTTCATTTATTTTGCTTATTACTACTTTTCACATTCCCTCCACTATTAATACATCCCCTCACTAGTCACTCCTCTCATCAACTTCATCATAACTTCTCAATTATTATTTCTGTATCATTTCCTTTCGCAGTTCACAATGAAGACATCAAGCTTTCCCGGCAGCTCCGGCGGCGGCAACGGTGGCAGGAACAATGGCAATGGTAATTACAGAATGCCGGAAAACGCCTCACGCACGTACAGAGGAGGCGGCAAGGGAAACGGGCCCAGTATGTGGCGGAAATCCGGGAACCGACCCAGAGTTTGCGCCTCTGGTTAGGTATCTTCAATACCTCCCACGAGGCCGCAATGGCGTACGAATCTGTTGCGCGGAGGCTCTACGGTGATGATGCTAAGCCCAATTTGCCTGTTGATGTCACCACCAGGATGTCATTAATCCATCATCAGCAGGAGACTGAACCGGCTTCTGATGAGCCGGCAGCAGCTGGACAAAGGAGAAGGTACTGCTGCTTTTGGTTGGGCGGATCTTCCGGTGGTCGATGGCCCATGCTGGATCGGTCAACGACCCATGTTTGTTTGATGACCGGGAGAATTAATTACCGCTTTGGTAATTAATTGTAACTTTTCATATTTTGAGACTTGGCATTTGGGATTGATAAGATAAAAGTTAGGCTTTGTTTTTGAGTAAAAATAAACAATGAGAGCTCTCTGCCATTGAAATGGCGGTTCTCAGATGTCATTATTAGTACATTACTTTTGTTTAATGCAAAGTACTAGAGTTAAGTTGCATTGTAATATTGTTGTCTTTGTGAAGTTTAGAGTTATATTTTATAGCATTGGAGAGAAAGGACGGGTGCTTGACTTTTGGGTAGGCCAAACCAAAAAATGTGGAACAAAAAATGTGTAGGGTTTTTTTTGTGGACAAATATAATGTTTTCGCGCTTTAGAAACACGAAACAAGAAAATTGGATTAACAATTCGCGTTTCTGAAACGCGAATCATTTTAATCACCTTTCAAAAAATTCGGTTGAGAGAAGAAATTGAATAAAAAAAGCACAATCATTTCTCGCGTTTTGGAAACGTGAAAAATTGTTTAATCATTTTTCGCGTTTCTGAAACGCGAAATGTTTTAAACATCTGTCCAAAAATTCCGTTGAGAGAAGAAATTGAATTAAAAAAGGGTGATCATTTTTCGCGTTTTGGAAACGCGAAAAATGTGTATAGCGTTTCAGAAACGCGAAAAATTATTTAAAATAAATTGCAGTTTATAAGAATTTAGCATTTTCAAAACGCGAAAATTTTTTTCTAGCGTTTTGAAATCGCGAAATATCCAGAAAATCTCTTCAACCACTCATTCGGATTCACGTGTATTTTGATGATAAGTCTTTGAGTGTATTTGCGTTTTGTAAACGCGAAATTTAAGGTTTATATACTAAACCAAGCAAAAAAACAGTATTTTTTCGTTCATTCTGTTCAGGTTCGATTTTAAGATTCTGTGAAAGCTCTCATTTCCTTCAATTTGAGAAATTGCTCCGAAGTTAAAGAAGATTGATTTGAGTCCTGAATCCGTAAAAGCTCTCATTTCCTTCAACATTCAGGTAAGTTAATTTCGTTATAGAAAATATGTACTTTTTTATGCCTTATTGTGAGCATAGGATGATTTACGCATTATTATTAGTTAATAAATAATTGTGATTTAGTCAATTAACGGTGATTTTTTAATTAGGCTGATAAAGTGAATTGAAAGAAATATTAGTTAATAGAATGTTAAATTAGATTAGCGTTTTGTAAATTATTGTATATCGATTTCTGTAAAATAAAATAAAATTATAATAATGATATTGAATTTTTGAATATTTTTAGCATAAGAATAAATTATGTAATTCGGGCATAAGGTTTAGATTTTATATTAATTTTTAGCATAGAAATGAATTTGTAAATTCAGGCGTATAGTTGTTCTTTTGAAATTATTAAATCTGTAAACGGGGTAAATACTGTTTCCGCAGAACTAAAAATCAAAATGTATGCTAGTGGTCTGATTTCGTAGGAATTGATTTTGCAGGCCGCAAATGTCTTTCACGGAGACAGTTCGTCTGAAATTATACTGGAATACTACTTATACAACTGAACCTGATGGGACTATCACGGTACAGCGGGATGCGCCGGACGGTTATCTTATCATTGATCGTATGTTAGATTTCTCGGAACTTGTTGATAAGGTATTAAGTGTGATGGAAGTTGATAGAGAAGGGCTGTATATTGATTTTTCTTTGGTATGGACGGAGAGGTCAGGAAAAAGGTCTCGTGTGCACATTAATGATGATAATACTGTTCGCTTCATTTATCTTTGTGCTGATAAATGGCCAGAATTATACCCTGAAAATGTTGAGAGAACAAGCCATGTTTATGCAAGTACATCTGGCCAGGATATTGGTGTCAGCACTAGTGGTGGTAGAACAGTTGAAGACAATGAAGATGGAGATGAAGATGGAGATGAAGATGAAGATGAAGATAAAGATGAAGATGCAGATGAAGATGAAGATGAAGATGGCGGGGGTGTCGAAAGCAGTGATGATGAGTACGTCCCATCGGATGAGGACTCAGATGACGACACTGATTTTGAGTCATCTTCTTCAGTCCCATATGTTTTTGACGACATAAGTGGATGGGACAAGACTTTAGAGGAAGTAGAAAACGATGGAATTAAAATGTGGGATGGCAATCCGTTGACGCTAGGCCTTGATATACATTTCGCCAACAAGCCTGAGGCACAAGCGGCAGTGGGAGAATGGAACTTGGTACATGGTCGGACTTTCCGAGTGAAAACGAGCTCTAAACGAACATGGTATGTCGAATGCGAGACGTGTGGACCTAAATATCCGAAAGAGCGTCTTCACGGCTATGATTGTCTGTGGAAGGCGCGAGTTTCGCTACAGAAGGCCACCGATACTTGGAAAATGGTGGTATGGTCCGATTCCCACAACTGTCTTGGGGCAAACAAGAGAAACGAGTCCCGAAACATCACGTCTTCTATGATTGCTAGACTGGTTGCCCAAAATGTGCGAAAACATCCAGATTTTGCAGTTGCCCAAATTCAAATAGAAGTTTTGAAGAGGTACCAAGTCGAATGTAGCTACAAGAAGGCATGGCATGGTAGAAGAAAAGCACTTGAGGCTCTGTATGGTACATGGGAAAGTAATTTTCAACAACTGCCCAGCTTCCTCGATGCATTGTTCATGTCAAACCCGGACACTTGTGTGCAATTCAAGTTTAAGGAAAATTCAGGAAGCTCACAAAGGTTTGTATGTAGGTATGTTTTCCGGGCATTTGGGCCATCTATACAGCTTATTTCATGCTTGTTGGCCAGAATAACCATCGATGCCACTCACCTGCGAGGATCCTACAAAGGAAAACTAATTGTGGCATGCGTAAAGTGCGCAAATGGCACGATTGTTCCCATCGCATTTGCTCTTGTGGACGAAGAGACTATACACAGCTGGAAATGGTTTTTGAAGTATTTGAAAAAGTTTGTTCTACAGGATAGGAAGACCTGTATTATCTGATCGAAATCAGGGTATCCTTACTGCCATGGACATCATGTTGCAAAATTCCCAGAGATGGGCGTCCACCGGTATTGTCTAGAGCATGTTAAAGCAAACTTGGTTGGGCATTTTCGAAAGGAGAAACTGCGAGGCAACTGTCAAATGATTGGTTCAGCGACGCAAAAGACAAGGTTTTTGGCAGAGTGGCAAAAATTAGAAGAAAAAAATGAGCCTGCTGCTCATTGGCTTCAGAAGCTGGGTGTTGAGAAATGGACCTGTTTACACGATGGAGGGCATCGTTAGGGAGAAATGACCACTAACATCTCAGAGAGTTTCAATAATGTGCTGAAAGGTGCTAGATTCTTCCCGATCACAGCATTGATCCTAGCATCCTTTTAGAAAAGCAACAATCTGTTTCAGGCAAACATTGATATGATCCAAAAATGTCAGACTGTTCTACCTCCTACTCCAATGAAACTGTATGAAGAGGCCCAGAAGAAATCATTGAGGCAAAAGGTCAACCGGTTTAGCAAGAGAAACCAGAAGTACGAACTGGTTACAATAGCACCTGATAATCAACCATGGAAGGCTGACGAGAAGCAAGTTGTGCTGTATGCAAATTGAGAGTGCACTTGCGGAAGGTGGCAGACTTTCAGATTTCCTTGTTCCCATGCACTTCGAGTTGCCCGTGAGCTAGGTGACGATCCCTTCCCACTTTTTGATCCATGTTACACTACGCATCAATGGTACCAGCAGTTTTCTGGAGAATTCAACCCAATCATGGAACCATGGCCAAAGGCAACGTGGCAGATCAGGCCAGATGACACTAAACTTGTCCACCATGCTGGCCGAGGTCGGAAGCGTGTGAATCGGAAAAAAGGTGTGATGGATTATACAAGCAAATCTGGCCAGCGAAGACTCCAAACTTGCAGTTTATGTAAGCTACAAGGCCATAATGCCAGGGCTTGCCCATATGCGAGAGTTTGCGCACGATGTGGATGTTTAGATCATGATGCTGTGGAATGCCCTTTTTCTCATCCACCTGCTGACAGGACCGCTATTGATAAACTGTACGATCCATATGGAATTCATGGTGTGCCTAATATCAATTCTGATGATGATGATGATGCGTAGTGATGATTTTCCTCATCGTCTGTTGTGATGATTCTGTTAGTGTTCGTATTTTTGTGTTGTTTTGAGCATTCATGCGTTTGTATTTGTGTTAGTGTGTTGCTTTAGATGTTTCTGTAATTTATATTAGTAATATTTTTGAAAAGAAAAACGTCGATGTTCATTTTAGTAATATTACTAATTATTACTATAGTGGTAGAGTGATATGATATATACATGTCGAATAAAGCATAATTATGTAATAAACACTAAAGGGTAAGAAAATTAAGTATTTGTTTATTCATCACCGCAATAAACAGAACCATATATCCGGCCTAAAAATCAGACTTTTTTTTTAGTTATACCCCAATAATCGCGTTTCAGAAACGCGAAAAAAGACAAGGTGGACATTATTTTCGTGTTTCTGAAACGCGAGAATAAGGAGAGGAGATGTTTCGCGTTTCTGAAACGCGAGGTTTGGGTATTAATCTGATTCGCGTTTCTGAAACGCGAAAATAGGTGGTTAAATAATTTTTTCGCGTTTCGGGTTGATGTTTCTCAAACAGAACCATATATCCGGCGTACTCTATTGAAACCGGCGATTTTTCCGGGAGAGTTGCCGGAATCAAGTTTCGGCATCAATTTTTTGCAGTTTTTAGGCTATATATCGAGGTAAGTTGCATTGTTTGCTTTCATTGAATCGTTTTTTTTAATTCATGCGTTAATTTTCGATTCATATATTTTGTGTTCATTTTATTTGTAATTTTATTTAGCGATTTAATACTCCGTTAATAGATCTAGTATTATAGGTGTTGTAATTGTGGAATTTTGTGTTCATTTTTTGTTGTATACTCCGTTATATTTTGTGTTATTTTTTGTTGTATAGAGAAGGGGGGCGGCGGGGGGGAATGAAGGGGAGAGGGGCGGCGGGGGAAGGAAGGGGAGGGGGCGGCGGGCGGCGGGGGAAGGAAGGAGAGGGGCGGCGGGCGGGGCGAAGGAAGGGGAGGGGGCGGCGGGCGGCGGGGGAAGAAATGGGTGGGGGCGGCGGGGGGAAGGAATGGCTTAGGGAGTTTAGGGTTTGGGGGAGTTTAGGGTTTGTTGGGGTGTTGGGCTTAGGGATTTTAGGGTTTGGGGGATTGGGTTGGGTTTAGAATGTGGGTTTTGGGTTGAGGATTGGGTTGGGTTTAGAGGGTGGATTTTGGGTTGGGGATTGGATTGGGTTTAGAGGAGTGGGTTTTGGGTTGGGGATTGGGTTGGGTTTAGAGGAGTGGATTTAGGATAATAAAATTTAGTGTTGGAATTTTTAATGTATAGGATAATTAGAAAAGAATAATAATATTAATCCGTATTTACTAAAATGTAGGGTTGGAATTTTTAATGTATAGGATAATTAGAAAAGAATAATAATATTAATCCGTATTTACTAAAATGTAGGGTTGGAATTTTTAATGTATAGGATAATTAGAAAAGAATAATAATATTAATCCGTATTTACTAAAATGTAGGGTTGGAATTTTTAATGTATAGGATAATTAGAAAAGAATAATAATATTAATCCGTATTTACTAAAATGTAGGGTTGGAATTTTTAATGTATAGGATAATTAGAAAAGAATAATAATATTCATCCGTATTTACTAAAATGTAGGGTTGGAATTTTTAATGTATAGGATAATTAGAAAAGAATAATAATATTAATCCGTATTTACTAAAATGTAGGGTTGAAATTTTTAATGTATAGGATAATAAAAAAGAATAATAATATTAATCTGTACTTACTAAAATTATTTGTAAATTGTACTAGCCATGGACATTGGATCATCTTCTTCCTCCCAATCTACCTCAAAGAAGCTACGTCAGGGACCCAGAGACAGTAGCTTGTTGTTTCTCCAAAACGCCCATAGGTCACACAATATATTCCATGGTGCACAGTATGATATAGGGATTTCGGAGCCCAAACGCGTAGATAGCGCCGCGTGGAAATTAATAAAAGATGCACCGAGGTTGACAAAGGAATATATTGAGAAATTTGGTTTTGGACCGTGCTCTAGAGTTGGGTCCATAAGATGTGACCATGCCCTGCTTACAGCTCTTGTGGAGCGATGGCGCCCAGAGACCCATACATTTCATTTACCTTTTGGGGAGGCTACTATCACACTCCAGGACGTCGAGGTTCTTTTGGGTCTTCGGGTTGATGGACGTCCGATTCATAGGACATCACACCATGCCCGATGGTGGTTGGGCGATCTATTTGGAGAGGATGTTTGGATTTAGGTTCCAGACAGAGGAGTCTAGATTGACGAGCGTTTCCATTACTGAAATAAAGACTCACATAGAGAATAATCCTTTGACGGACCTGTCCCCTGACGATGCACACCTACAGTGAGCCCGTTGTTTTGTTGGATGGCTCGTTGGCGGATTACTGTTCTCAAACACTACGAGAAACAGTTTTCCTCTCGATCTTGTGCATTTTCTTCATACTCCCGAGATTTGCTCGGAGTACAGTTGGGGTAGTGCGGCACTATGTTACTTGTACCGCAGCATGTCCAAGTCATCTCTGGCCGCTTCTGCCAAGGCTATTACCGGCTGTGTGATTCTTCTTCAGGTATTTTATCTTTTCAATTCTTTCTAGTTTCATTTTATATTCTCCAATTATTATTGGTGATTTTAGCTAATGATTTCTTCATTCTGAATTAGCTCTGGGCCTAGGAGCGGATTTTGACGGTTCAGCCCAAGATACTGGGTGGGGATCTCGATCTATCTGATTGTCCATTGGGCACGAGGTAATCTTATACATCAAACCTTCGTAAATTTTGACATTTTGATTTGTACTGTCATGTCTCAATTTAATGTTACTTTCTCCGTGCAGGTGGTCCCGCGAGAAAAAAGTTCAAGGTATCACGCGGTTCAATTTGGCCGCGTACCGGGATCAGCTTGCGCTTCTCGCAGAGTCTGATGTTAGTATTCTATTCAATTAGTATAACTTATGTTTTATTCGTTTTTTTTAACGGTGTCGAACTTTTAATTACACGTCTCTTACTTCATTACCATTGCAGTTTGTATGGATGCCGTACACGACTCTTTTGGGTCGTATTGCCATGGTTTGTTTTGTGGGATAGGGCATATGGCGATCTCAGACATGGCTCATCTGCGGTGATGTCGTTGCGCCACACAACCCCAGTAGGGTATTTCGCCAATTTGGTTATCACCAGCGGATACCCGGCGACGCATTACTTCTCACTGCGGCGGAAATTACTAGCCTGCTCAAGAGGAAGCCGTTTGGAGGATCCGATAGGAGATGGTTACATCAACTAGGGATATATCTCCAGGTTTGGAATGATCGCCACGGCCAAGTTGTGGGGACTGATGATGATTATGTTGGCGAGCCTTCCGCAGATCCGGAGTATCTCTTGTGGTACCATCAGGTTACTGTGAAGTATGTTACGGATCCGACGGACTCTGAAAATGCGAGGGGTTTTCACGGTTCTGCAGAGACCTTGCGCCTCATGGTGAGTATTTCGCCTACAGTCCATTTGGTTCTTTTTATTAACACTGTTGTCGATTTATGATTCTTTCTAATAAAAATTTCAGGCCACATTGATGGAGGACGTTCGTAGTCTGAGTATTATAGGCCAGCGTACTTTCGACGCGGACTCCTTTGGTTATGATCGCTTAGGCGAGATTGCCCAGGTTGCTGAGCTGGCGTTGTCCGTCAATGCAACAAATGTTGTACGTCACGATCTCGATAGGCATGTTGAGGTTCATGACATTTTGAGTCAAGAACTTGCACCTGTAGACCCGACCCAGCAACATCCACCACCCAGACCTCCGAGGCGTTCGCGTAGGTCTCAGCGTGGGCGTGGGGGGCAAGAGACAATCACATCATCTCAGCCACATCAGTCCTCCCAGCATGAGCAGTCTCATATTCCCTTCACTGGCAGTTCATCCATATCAGTCTCCACATCAGTCTCCACTCCATTCTCGACAGCATTCAGCCCATCAGTCTCCACATCATTCATCCCATCAGTCTCCACATCATTCTTCGCCGACCCAACAGGCGTTTTACCGTCCGATTATGTCTCCCCAGCACCAGCAGTCCAATTTTTCCTTCACTCAGTTTTACTCCCCTCAGACTTCTCAGCGTCAGTTTAGAGATTCTTTTATTGACTTTTCTGGGTTTCAGCAGAGTTCGCTAGATGGCCAGTCGATACATTACACGAGTAACTTTCTTTCGAGTATGTTCGAGGGTGTTGCGGGTCAGCATCAGGCTGATAACCCAGCTGAGGGTGAGCGTGAGAGTCAGGGTGAGGATGAGGCTGAGGATGAGGCTGAGGATGAGGATGAGGCTGAGGATGCGCACTGTGATGATCGTTTGAGGTCGGGGTTATCGGCGCCATGAGGAGCAGGGATCGAGTCAGACTCTAGGGACTCCACCGTTGGCTGTGAGTAAAGGCCAGAGAGTGACGAAGGAGCCCGATAGATTGACTTATAGCCTTTTTCGGGCTAAAAATCCCAAGAAGAAGTAGGGTACTAGACTTCTTATGTAGTATTATTAGACTTGTATTTTTTTTTTCCCTTTTGTTCATTTCTATTTTTTTTCCTTTTGTTATGACTTGTTTTATTTTTTTTTACCTTTTGTTATGACTTGTAGTATTTTGTTATGACTTGTATTAATATTCTTAATAGTTTTATTTCACCTGCATCGCAAATACAATAATTAATATTTATAAAACACATCTTCGCCGATCAAATCGAAACACATATTTAAACTTTCTTATATTTTTTTTCATAATTAATAGTTGCTTCATCTTAAGTGTAGGTAAATTATAATAAATATTTAATAAAATTTATTCCTATTTTAAGCTTTTTTCTTATATTAAAACCATCATAATTAATAAAAATAATTTGTAAATTAAATTACATCTCATTAAATCCATAAAATTACGTCATTATCATTATTGAAAATTTTTCATATAAAATTATTTTTTAAAATAATGATTACATTTTTAATAAAAATTTTTAATATAATCATTATTAAATTTTTTATATAATGTTCTAAAAAATTAATACATTATAATAACTATATCATACTTTTAATAATTTATATTTAGTATAGCTCTATTTAATTTAATGAGTATCAATTATAATATTATATTCTTATTCAAAATTTATTTTTCGTATTATTAAAATTATCAATATAATTTTCCTCTTTATAGCTCTATTCAAAATTTAATGATTAACAGTTATAATTTTAAAATTTTCTGTTACCATTATTCAAATTTAATAATTTTTTGAAGTCAATTTCCCTATAACGTTTTAAACTAGTCAAATTAATCATATTTTTATGCCTATTTTCTTTTTTATTAAATAAAATATTTTTTAATTGATTTCGCGTTTTCAAACGCGAAATCTTATTGATTCAAGTTAATTAATTAGGATTATGTTAAATTAATTACGTCTCCTTCTTTTTCGCGTTTCTGAAACGCGAAAAACATATATTCGCGTTTTCATGCGGATTTTGATTTTTTCGCGTTTCTAAAGCGCGAGAAAGCTATTTTTGGCCACAATTTAAACCCTAAGTATATTTTGTTCTTCATTTTTTTTTTCAGTTACTAATAAGTAAATTTTCGGAGAAAGGACAGAAGCCATGTGTAATATATGAAAACTATATATATATATATATATATATATATATATATATATCTGTGTGTGTGTGTATATATTGAACATGATAAAAGAACAAATCTGCCTGGTTGCTCTTATTTTTTTCTTTACAAGAAAAGTGGAACTACCCTTTTTTTTTTCCAATGAAACAGTATTTTTCCTACCGTACCCCAATTTTCTCTTTTCATCCGTTTGGTTTATTTTGTTTCTTAAATCCTGGCTACTTTGTTTCTGGACTTTGAGGTTTCAATCTTTTCCGGCCGATGGAGGTTTAGTTTCCCGCATTGACTCCACCTGGATAGCAATTGATGAGTTTTCACTGTCAAATTTAGACCATCATATCTATCTTTCTCCGGAATATGGATGAAGAGTTTTAGTTAACTTCGGAAGTACTGTAATAAGATTCACCATTTCGATTTGGTTCATATCATCATTTTGACCAGCTTCTGAGATTAGGGATTAAGCTTAAGCCCTCACTAGTAATGTTAAGTTTCATCCTCCGCTAATAAGATGTTTAACCCTAAACTATTATTCTTTCACATGTAATTAAGAAGCCTAGGCCCTAATCAGCTTTTCTAACCTGGAAACGCGCATAATGTTAAGTTTCATCCTCCGCTAATAAGATGTTTAACCCTAAACTATTATTCTTTCACATGTAATTAAGAAGCCTAGGCCCTAATCAGCTTTTCTAACCTGGAAACGCGCAACAATTTTTGTAGAGCCGTAACTAATCCTAGTTATTCATACTGTAGTTACTAATATATGAATTCATTATGTAGATTTTAATAAATTCTCCACCCACCTTAAAATCGTTGTTTATTTTTTAAACTTACCATGTTATGTAATTAACTTGAAGGGCAAGCGGAAAAGTCAAAACTGACTACAGGCCCAAAGTCTATTTTGCTATAAAGAGGTGTCAAGATATATAAAAAAATAAAAAATAAAAAAATAAAATCAATTAATCAAAACTGATACAATGCAATGTTAGTACAGTATATATAGAGAGCATATACGAAGTAAAATAAATATAATACTATCTCTAACCCAACAACATAGTCTAGATCGATTTTAAAACTTTTATTAGTTTTAATATAAATATTAAAAGTCAATATAGACTTTTTTTTTTTGGACAGAGGGAGTAAGATTTTTGTTAGATTTTGTTTCAAATTATATCTTTCTCATAAAAATAAAATAAAACAAAATCAGATCAAAGATGAGTATATGCGGTGGAACCTTCTTTTCAATAAACATGAAATGTAATCATCTTTGAAAGACAATTCCTGTTGTAGGGAAATAGATTCCTATTTAATTTTAGAGAAAATGATTTATTTTTTAGTTTAATTTCAATTTTTTTGTTGAGATTATGTTGATCACAATGTACGTGTTACTTTATCGTCAGATTCCTATTTAATTTTTTGACTTACTTGATTCTCAATTGTAACATAAGAAACCTTTACTATGTACTTGCACATCCGGTAATTAATTTCAAGAACCTACAACTCGTTACATTAGAAAACAAACTTCTCGATTATACACACAAATGAGAGTGTCCAAAAGACTAAATTAAGGCTTCAAACATTTCATTACCTGGTTATTTTTTAGTTTTAGCATTACTATTTCTTTCCAAGAAAATACTCTTTTTATCTCAAAATTATAATTTGGATTTCAATTTTAGTACAATTTTAGTTAAAGATAAAAATTTTAAAAAGACAATAATTTCGGTGCAGAAGGAACTGATTACATCGAGTTTTTAAATTTTTATTCAGTAGCAAGTCCCGATTTCATTCATCTCCGAGGGACTGACGGTTATATATAGTATGGTGCAGACTCACAGGACCTGGGATCATTAAAACATGGCAGACCAAGCCATGAGTTTCGTGTTTGACACGCATTGTTATTAGCATAAAGTTTTCATTTACAAAACCATGAATAAAATGGTAATCTATCAACAAATTCAAGTTTTTATCTTACGGACCGATTGATTCACTTCAGTCCGTGCATGTAGTAAGCGAGTAACGTTGCTATGAGTACAAATGAGCTCACTTCGGTTCACTTTCGGTAGCTCGTTGGTTAACCATATGCATAGCCAAAGCAAAGTATATTTTCTTATAAGGGCACAATTATAGGATTCAGATAGACGGTTAATCATAAAAAGCATGGTGTCCAAAACTGAAGGCTTGTTTAGCCAACATTTTGTTTTTATTTTTATTTTTGTTTTTTATTTAGTTTTGAGATGTGATTTAAAATGTATTTTGAGATAAAATTTAAAAAATTATTTAGGTAATATTTTAAATAAAATAATAATATTTTTAGAGAACCACCGGACCACCTCCACCACCAGCGTCACCGCCGGACCGCCACCGGCCGGCGACCGGCCGGCCGAATTCCAGCAAGTTGGCCGGAATCCAGCCAGCCGGTGGCGGTGGGTGGTCCGGCGGCAACCGGTGGTGGCGGATGTGGTCCGGTGGTTGTGGACGGAAATTATGTAAAAATAATTTTTGGAATATTTTTTTAAAAGGTAAATTAAAACGTTGTTTGGATAGTATTGAGATTTGTGTTTGAGATGTGTTTTAAGAGGTACAATGATACAAAAATGTAAAAAGTGACTTGTCCAAACAAGACCCAAATATTCTTCAATTACAATATGTTGTGAGAAGTATTGAATACTATTAATTGATTAGTACCTAGTTGTGCTTTTTTTTGTATATCGCGTTACATCTATACATGTATTAAAAAAATGATGATTGAAATTTTAATTTTTAATCATAATATTTTTTGTTTTTTAGTTTAAAGTATTGAGATTATACAAAAATTAGAATTTGTAATAAAAGAAGTTAATTGTCTGGATTATGTACTACTAAATTAGAGAAATAAGGGTAAATTGAAAAAAGTTCATTTCATGCTGTATTGGAAATGAATAATGATAGATTGAATGAATAAAAGTAATCACACTATCAAATACCTACTCATCTCCCTAGCATCTCTCTACCGTCCTCCTATGACCGGACAACACCACCCCCCAAACCTTCTTTTGCTCAGATTTTAGGTTCAAATTCTAATCCCAAAACCATATTCGGCCATTCAATAAAACATCAAACTCCAAATCCACCTTTTACACGTCCGAGCCAACAATATTCAAAGGGAGCCAACTTTCCTTCATTCAAAAGAGGAGGATGAACAATTGGCAGCCCCTTTACGGCTTGCAGTAGTAGGAAAATTTACAAAAGGTAGGCCTAAGATTGATTATTTGCAGAGAGATTTCCAAATCATTGGATTCAAAGGGAATTTTTTAATTGGATCGATTGATTATTGACATATTCTCATATGTTTTGATCTTGAAGAAAACTTTCATCGCTACTGGCTGAAAGGGTTATGGACCTTTGACAAGCATCGGATGCGAGTCTTGAAATGGACTACTGACTTTAACCTGGATGAAAGTTCCATAGTTCCGGTTTGGATCTTTTTTTGAAGGTCTCCCTATTCACCGCTTCAACAAGGACTACTTGTGGAAGCTTGATGGCATTATAGGGACTCCACTACAGATTGATGTACCAACTCTCAACATGTCGCGACCTTCAGTGGCTCGAGTGTGTGTAGAAATAGACCTCCTCAAGGCTCGATTGGGAAGACTTACTTTCAACCAATCTACTATGAAAACATACCACAATATTGTATCGATTGTAAAAAAATTGGATATGATCATCATTCTTGTTGACACAACACTAAAGCTTCATC